ACAATATAAATTTTGTTATGCAAACCTTCAAGCACCAGCAAAGTACAAAAAAAGTACAAAATATAGGCACAACGAAATGCACCCTCCTGGATGATTAACTGAGAAATCACCCCGCAAATTTATACATCTCGCTTCTCATGCTCTAAAGCATAAGCACCCAGATCAAGGGCTCAGATTTTACGTCGCGCAAAATGTGAAAAAGAAATTACTATTTAACACAAGAGCATGAACACACAACAAGGATTGAAGACGATTATAAATATTTGAAGAATCTAATTATCCAGCATAAAGTTAAAAATGTTTGGATTCATATGGAACAGACCATGCTTCAAATTATCTTAATGATTACATCATTAGTACAAAAACTAAAAGCGATTTGGAAGGTGGTCCTAAATTGTTTGAATGGACATATGACGAGGCCCGTCTGCTGCATCAGGTGGGATATCTGCTGTATTTTCTGGCACAATTAGCAGGGTAGGAGTGTCGGTGTCCATTGCGCTCACTAAATCCACTGGCTTCTCCTCTTGCTTTTCATTCAACTTCATCAACTGTCCATTCTTCACGAAATGAAGATAATGAACGTTCTCCAGCTTCGCTGTCGAATTAAAAAGGCATACCTGCTCGATGATGCTCTCGTAAGTACCAACAACCTCATTTTTAAAAAGTTCTTGATATCTCGCCACCTCAGAATTCATATTCATCTTCTCTTCCTCTAAGGACCCAATGGTTGCCAGTAAATCCTTCACTTGGTTTAAAAATGCCAGCTCTTTGTGTTTTCAGTGTAGCAATACTGGCCTTTAACTTATTCAGCTCCTGCGACATGTTGGTCTTTTCATCTTCAGCCACTTTCTTGGCTTTTTCAAATTCAATGATCAGGTTGGTCTTTTTATCCCCCAGATTCTCAATGCGCTCTTTAAAGAAGGCAACTGTACCTAAAAAACAAAATGTGTGATTCCAAGAGGGAAAAGGGTTAGCAATATGCTTTCATCAGAAGAAAATCTTATATAGATCAAGCAAGTTACTATAAATACTTGTTAGCGACATTAAACTTTGATTCGCTATGTTCAGTTTTGCTACTTCCTTTTCCCAGTCACCCATTTCAGCATTTTCAATTAAGGGACCAATGTCTTTGCTCTTAGCATATAAACAATCTTCATTATCCCAATCACCACCCCAATATGCTGAATCTTGGAAGGAAGAGCTGGATTCTTCGGCCTTTCTTTTCTTACCCCTTGATGTTTGGCTTGTTTCTTTCTTCTTCTTCTCCTTGGGAGGGGAAGGTTTTGATTTGGTAGTTTGAGGACCAGGGGAGGTAAGGCGCGTTGCGCCATGACTGGATTGTGCTCATGAGGGTGAAGCATGAGTATTTGTTATAGGTGGATTGGCATTAGCAGGGCTTGAGCCACTCCTTGCTCTTCTGGTAGCTTGAGCTTCTAGTTGTTTCAACCTGGAAGACATCGTGCTATCTCACACATAACAAACTCAAATATTAGATCAACAAATAAAAGTGCATGTAGATAAAATACTTAAGTAGGCGAAAAATCAACGAAGCATTTACCCAAGAAGACTTTAATCTCATCCTCTGTGTATTCATTCAGAATAGTGAAGGCATTTAATAAACCCGTATCTGATGCCTCTTGCGTAATATTTCACAGAGTAGTGATTGTCTTCTGTTCATAATCTTTTAAGTCTGAAAAAGAAATATTTGGTTTATACTCATTCGTGGTATATCTAGTCCAATAGAGAGGAAATATGGGAGAGTTGTCTTCCTCACTTAAGAAAAATAGATAACAATCTCGCGCGGGATAAATCTTGAAGAAATATGTGGTCCAGTTGTGCACCCTCCTTTGATACGATTCACAAAACTTATAATTTGTATTTCCTCTACAAGATACCCAACTCTTGCGAAGACTAAACACACTAAAAATTCAATAAATGGATTCTGGTGACTGGAACAAGTTGTGAAAGCCTTGCAGACCATCTAGTAAACTCTGATAAAACCCCATGCATTGGGATGAAGTTGAGATGGTGCCACTTGAATATGCTCAAGTAGTTTCATTATGAAAAGAGAAAAGGGAAGGCGCACTCCAAGGGTTAAGAAGTAATAGTTGTACATCATAAGGAAATGTTTTGATGAATCGTTGGCACGAGATGAGCACACATGTTCATCTTTGGGTACTACTGACAATTCTCATCTACCATCTTCAGCTTTATCTTGCATCAAGTGGATGGCAGCATTTAATTCTTCAATTTCCCTTGGCGAACTGTAATAGGACACGGTGTCTCGTGCAATTTCGGACACCCACTCTAAATTTTCAGCATCATGGAAAACGGACGTACTTGCCCCAACAGCATCTTGGTCTTGATGCTTCTTCTTCTTTTTTCCAGTAGTATTTCGCTTAGCCCTGATTTCTCTGGTTTTTGGAGAAATAAGATCTACGTCAAAAGATGAGGAATTAGTGGAGTCGGAAGAAGAATAGGAACTAAAAGATGACGGGTTGACTTTATCTTCAAATTTTTGTTTCCTATAAGGATATCCCGCAAGATAGACGACACTCAGCGGAAGTGGGCTTGGGCTTATGTTTTTAACAAGATCGTTATGCGCAATATGTGAAGGATTATTGTGTTTTGAATTTGGTGAGCTCAAGCATGAAGAATCTTCAAAATCCGAGGGATTATTACCTAAAGAATCGCGCGGATTCGACACAAGGCTAGGACTGGAATCACTTGAAATACAAAAAGGGTTGGCAAATTTGTTTGGCACAGAGATTTTTAATGAAGGAAGAGGGGACGAACTTTCTTGAGATAAAGTTCTGGATATTCCGCGTTTTGGTTTCCGGGATGAAGATCTTCTTTCATATCCTCAAAGTGTTGGAAGGAAGCTTCCGTCCAGTTTTGCTTTCTCCCAGGGGGAAATACCTTTACCCGTCAACCACCTTCTCCAGTTCCTAGGGATTTAGATCTAGGGAAAGTGCTTAGAGGGGAGCTGGTAGAATCAGACTTCTTGGCCATTCTAAAAAAGTCCAAAAATTGGTGTTTGTCTGGCATATTCTAAGAGAAACTAAGTAACTAAGCGAGGAACAACAGATTGCCATGTAAACATTTGATGCAATAGAAAGATTAGAAGAAGATTGAACAAATTTCAAAGAGATAAAGAGAAAGAGAATGTACATACCTGAAATTTATATTTTCGGTGGGAAAATTGCAGCAAGACGTGTCACTGAAGGGGATTTACAGTCAGGATACTGGCGAAAACACACTCGGCGGAAGCGATGAGTATTTTTGTTTGCTCAAAAATTTTCCCTCCACCAAGAAAGCAAAGTACAAATATGAAAAGTCACCAAGGGATATTTGGCTAAATTGCGTCGATTGAAACGACAAAAGGGGGCACGTGTAAAGAAGGTAAAAAGGTGAAAGTTTAAATCACCCCACATTGGCAAGTAAAACTCCCACTTAATTGTAGTAGCATTTAATGCCTTTGATAGTTAAAGTCTAATCAATCATTTCTTAGCGGTAGGTTAATGATGATGTTTTCATTATCCATTATCATTAAGCGTGGGATGTGGCCGATAGCGCGAGAATAGACAAAAGATAACTATAAGATAAAATGGTTTTTGCGAGATACAGACTCCAATATCTTATATCTTCTGCTTACAAGTGCAAAGCAGCGATCTAGGGGGTAATTGATCTGGATAATTACATAGGCCCACCAGGATTAAAGCCCAGAAAGGGCCCAAGAAGCGCAATGGCCTCATAACGCGAGATACATGCATTGCGCAGAAGGGCCCAAGAAGCACAATGACCTCATAACGCGAAATGCAGGCATTGCACAGAACTGCCTTATGTAACTTAAAGGCTAAGGAAAGATCCCGTAACAGGTTGAGATCCACCGCGTATACACACCAACACACGAAAACAGCTCCAGCTTGCCACCACTGAAAGAAGACAAACAAATATATAGACTTATAGCCAGAAAGGCACCAGCTGAGACAGACAAGTCTGCAGCCCATAATAACCAATAAGAAGACATGCCGCCTACCAAAGGCGGCAAAAGTCTTCATCTTTCAATCGTAAATGATTTAGCCCAATCCATATTGGACTGATCAATAACGTTAATATACATGGCTTCTATCCTATGGTCTCAAAAAAAAAAAATTCTTCTAACCTAAGGTTTCTACCCTATAAATAAATAATATCAAACAATTAATATTAAATAATGTAAAAAAAAAAAAATACTAACCTTGATGATGTTGAGAGAGATAGAGAGTGAGAGAAAGTGTAAGTGAGAGAGAAAGAGGAAGAGAGAGGGAAAAGGAGAAAGGTGTGATGGGAGGGGGGGTTTATATAGGCTGGGGCTGGGTAGCAGTTGGACCAAGTTCGCTACCCACCCAGTGAACTTGTCCCACGTCAGACACGTGACCCAACAACTATTTTTTATTATCGTTTGACGTAGTTCACTGGCATGGGAAGGCGGACAAGAAGGTGACATTAATTGCTACCAAGTTCGCTACACCCAGTAGCGAACTTGGTGGCCACCAGAAACACGCCACATCAGCATACCAAGTTCGCTGTCAATTGTAGCGAACTTGGACGCGTGACATATTGAAAAATAACACTATTGACGTGACACATTGGTAAAAAAAATGCCAGAAATATGACAATTTGGTCATTATTCCTTGATCTAGTGGTAAGGAGTTTTTTCCCTTATATTAGAAGTTGAGACTTTTGAAAGAGAATAGAGAAAATGATTATTGGGAGAACCTCGCTAATATAGTTTTGGCCGTGCTTGGATAGAATAAGATGGGTCATTTAGGAAACAATTTGAAAGCTTTACCCTTATTATTATGATTAGGAACTTTTTTGATAGCAAAATAACTTAATCCAAAATAAATAAATCCAAACACAGTCATGTTTTTCACATTTTCATCCTGGAGGGCATACAATATGGATGGTATGTCTTTTAACATTATTACATATAGAATTTGGGTAATTTCTTTCAGAGTACACAAGGGGGACACATTGGGCTTATTCAAGCCATTGATTGGGTTATACCGTTGTCCCAGTCCACGGCAGACATTGATGCAGCATCTAGGGCCATTGCTTTCATGTTGGATTGGTAATTAATAACCCCAAAATAACTTGCATTTCTTGAATAAAAAGGAAATATGGGCGCATTCTTAATTAACATCATTTATTTGGTTTATGTATGAGTTTTATTGCTTTGTTTCCCAGGTGCATGGAACCACTAAATTCTGGTTCGTACCCGGTTGAAATGGTTCACTATGTGGGAGAAAGACTGCCAAAGTTTTCTAAAGAGCAATCAGATATGATGAAAAATTCTTTTGATTTTGTTGGCATCAACTATTACTCTACAGCATATGCAACTGATGCTGAATGCCCAATCGAAAAGAAAACCTACCTCACAGACTTTTGTGCTGAGCTTACGTGTAAGCTGTCACGAATTGAAATTGTGGCTTATAGTAATGCGCTTTGTTTTTAGCTTTCTAATATTTTATGGCTTATATTAACATATATAAACGATGTATCAGATGAACGTGATGGCATTCCAATTGGTCCAAAGGTACGAACTACAAACTAATTGAGCAAGAAATTCCGCCACTCAGAAACCCATTTGATACGGATTTCTCATAAATGTTTTTTTCTTCTCTATCTTGAAGTTAAATATTTACTGTCATGAGAGTACCGAGTAGACTATTGAGTACATCATTTATTAAATAGAAAAATATAATATAAATACATTATCTTTATCTTTACAGTTATTTTTGCATATATATATATATATAGATTCGGTTTTTCTACGATCAATATAAATAACTTATTTACATTAAGCTCAAAACGACATAGTTTTAAGGTATTTTTGTAATTATAATTTATTTCAGGGTTATAAGTCTTTCTTATTATAATTTTTTAACCTAAAACGACATCATTTTAAGAGCGAATGTAGATAACTTATTTACATTCACCGTAAAAACATTAAAGGGTAAATATTTCTACAGCCACTTTAGATAAGGTTATCTACAGCTACCATTTATAACTATGTTCTCCCGGGAGAACATAGTTATAACATTAAAGTTGTTTTTTTCTCTATCTTCAGTTACTTTTAAGAACTTGTTTGCTGACGTGGAGAGAGAGAAAAAAACAACTTTAATGTTATAACTATGTTCTCATGGGAGAACATAGTTATAAATGGTAGCTGTAAATAACGTTATCTAAAGTGGCTGTAGAAATTTTTTTTCATATATATATATATGAGGTAGGATCCTTTGACACCGGTGTCAAATTTGAAGTTTGACACCTCATCTGAGAACCGTTAGATCAAACAAGATCAATGGTGTCACATGCTTACAAATCAGAGTCGTTGATCTTTTTTGATCTAATGGCTCTCAGATGAGGTGTCAAACTTCAAATTTGACACCGGTGTCAAAGGATCATGCCCCTCTCTCTCTCTATATATATATATATATAACTCAAAATATATTATCGACTTGATTCTATTGAATAGCTAAATTAAGGAAATAAACAATTTCACTCACTAATCTACGAAGGATGTCTTATATGGATCATGTTGCAGGCCGCCTCAGAATGGATATACCTCTACCCACAAGGAATCGAAGAAGTGTTACTCTACATCAAGAACAAATTTAACAATCCAGTCATATACATAACAGAAAATGGTATTTCAAATTGACATAGTAGTTATGTATTCTTTATGCATGTAGTATATATTGGTCAGGTTAATTCAACCTAGATATGACATTTGTTTAAATTTTATTAATGAAAGGCTTATATAATTTGCAGGTTACGACGATTTTAACGATGGAAAAGGATCACTCGAAGACCAAGAGAGAATAGACTGCTACATTCAACATCTTTCTTTTGTTCAAAGTGCTATATTGTAAGTATGAATAATTCATGCAATCAAGGTTATGTTTTGCTAACCTTGAAATTGTACTCAAAGTAAAACTTTGTATTTGCTAGGAATGGCGTCGACGTGAAAGGCTACTTTGCGTGGTCGCTTTTGGACAATTTTGAATGGTCGGACGGTTACACTGTTCGATTTGGGATTGTTTATGTTAATTATACGGATGGATTAAAGAGATATCCAAAGGATTCAGCTAAATGGTTTAAGAGGTTTCTCCATCAAGATTTTAAATCTCATTGAACAGATGGAAAGGACAGTTGATTAGGTTTTAAATAAGAGACCCTCTATTTTGCTCATGTAGGATAAGAAATATTAGTGATTTGAACACTTCATCAATGCGCCAAGTTATTCTAAGGTATGTAAAGAATAACAAAATATATATATGTTAAGTTCCTTGAAACTTGAAAGTACTATTTAGTTTCTGTATATATATTCTTTATGAGGTATGTATTGCAGATTTTTTCATCCGGCTTTGCAGGGGCTTACGAAGAGAATATTGATCTGTTGGTACACACATGCGTGATATCTCCTATTAGATTAAATTCCAACATAACCACTAACAGATTCATATATCTTCAATCTTTTCAGCAATGTCAACCATGTTGGCTTGAATGGTCTTCTTCTTCTTTTTGGAGTTCTTTGCCTTTTTACAACCTCAGCACGGTGGCCAGGATTCCCACAATTATAGTAGTTGCCCTTGAACTTCTTCACTTTACCTTGGCCTTGATCTTACTTAGATGACCCATCATCAAAGTGTTTTCGTTTCTTGGACTTTGAACAATCTTCAACAACATTGGCCCTTGAAACCACAGAATTGCTGCCAAGTTTCTTTTCCGAAATCTTATTGCCATCCTCTATTTCAATCTCATGATCAAATCTTCAAGTGACATCTCTTTGCGTTTGTGCTTGAGATAATTCTTGAAATCTTTCCAAGACGATAGTAATTTGGAAAGACTCACTAAGGAACATCCCTTCGGCATGAATGTCATCCACATGCACTTAAAGTTCTTCAACTTGACTCACAATAGATTTAAGGTCTTGCATGTTGAAGTCTAAAAATCTTCCAACTATCAATTTCTTTAGACCAACATCCTCAGTTTTATACTTCTTGTCTAGACTGTCCCATAATTCCTTGCTTGTCTTCAAGGCACTATACACATTATACAGTGTGTTGTCTAGACCATTTAGAATATAATTCCAACATAAGAAGTCAAAATGCTTCCAAGCATCAATTGCAGCAACCCTTTTCTAGTCCAATGGTTGTCCTTCTTCCAATTTCGGAGTATCTTCAGTAAGAAACCGTGCCAAGATTAATGTAGTCAAATAAAATAACATTTTTCGTTGCCATCTTTTGAAATCATTCCCATTAAACTTCTCTGGTTTCTTGCATGCATTGGAATAGAACCATTAGGATTCACCAAGTTTATACTTGAACTTGCCATTTCTGTTAATAAAGCAGAAATTCGAATTAATCACACAGATTAATGAAAAATGGTTGAACAGTATAATAATAAAAAAATTTAAAATACTGTACACAGATTCAAACCAAATTGTCTTAAGATTGTTGTAGAGTAAGACATTTAGAATTGAAATATATCTGAATTCACAAGGGGTCAGAGTCCGTGTAATCACGATGGAACAATATTATTTGATTATAAATCTGCACCAAAAATAAACAATAAAACTCACAGTAATATCGAAGAACAGATGCAGGAAAAAATGGAAGAAATCTGAGCCCAAAAGATGTCTCCTTTAGTCAATTTATTCCCTCTATTAAAGCCCAAGGTTCACAAACAATGTCTCCTAGGATAGAACAGATTGACTTCTCCAGAACAATGACACTATCGATCAAGAGCACCCCACGAACACAACTGAATGTTAGAAGAATGAACACTATAAGCCTAGTATGCACTATAAGTATAACTTAAAAAAATTTCGATAGAGTAACGATGCATAAAATCTAGATAGATTTTCTGAAGGGTTCAATGTCCATATATAGACACTGACTGGACACAATGAACATGTGAATCGCCGCCGGTGAAGTGCCGTGACTAACGGCTGCGAACGCACGCACGGGTTCGGATCAAAATTAACTGATCGTACCATTTCAGTTCAGAATTCAAAAGGAAGAACCGGTTAAGTTCAAAAATTAGCGGAGAGGAACGTTTCAATTTGAAAAGGTGAACCACCACCGGCGAAGCATCGCGACTGACGGCTACGAACGCACGCACCAGTTTGGTTTAAAAATAATCAAAATGAGTTTGGTTCAAAATTAACTGATCGTACCATTTCGGTTCAAAATTCAAAAGGAAGAACCAGTCGGTTCAAAACATGCTAAGTGGTACCCATAAACCAACAAAGCTAAAAAAAACTTATTATATTCATGTTTAACACTAATTTTCTTTGCCTTTTTATTTACTCTAACAATTTTCATACCTCACAAATGCTTATCATTCATTACTATTTTATAGGTTTCTACGTTAGCTACGCGTGGGTTCAAACCGCGCTCAATTTGGAGCACCGTAGCCCAAGTTATGAATTTTCTAAGAAAATGGATGCTGAAATCCCCAAGACTCCCACGCTCATAGCGTCAGTATCACGCTCACAACGTGAAAACGCCCCAGAGGCAGAGAGGTTGGCGCCCATTGCGTCTGATTGGCACCCATAGCGTCAATGCTATAGCTTCCCCCAGATGGTTGGCGCTAATAGCGTCAACTTGATGCTAATAGCATCGCAGTTCTGGAGTAAACACCAAAACAGGGAAATTTGACCTACTTTTGTATTTTACCCATAACTTGAGTTATACTCCTATTTACGCAATCTTGGCCTCATTGGAAAGCTAAAATAAAGTTGTATAACTTCCAAGAAGGCTAAGAGGTCCAATTCTATCCTATAGGATAAGAAAATTGGGCAGCACCCTGTTTATATTTTCAACAATTTCCGATTTTTCCAATCAAGTACCTAATCAATTATCCTCTCAATATTCACTTAACTATTTCACAGCTCAACGCATTCAATATGTCATTAATCCGTCCATCAACTATCAACCTCATTGGATATTCTTTACAATAACTTAATTTTGCATAATCCATGTGACAATTATCATGATTTACAATATCATAGCCATTTTAACATCAAATGGTCTATTTACAACATAAGACTCCAAATGTCTCAAAACACAACATATGTGGCCATGGATCCCATGCTCACCAATACCCAAAATGTAATAACATGAGACATATACAAAATACAACACCATGATCAAATGACTTAGAATCACGTATGAACACCAAAGCATGGCAACTATAATCTCATATAATCCAATGTTCATACTCTAAGTCCAAGATACAAAATAAATGCTAGTATGTGCATCCTATGTAATCCTCCAAAGTGATATGCTCTCCTTATGCACATCAAGATCCAACTCCTCCATGCTCGCTATAGCCTCAAATGATGTCCCCAAGCGCGGGGTGAGATATACAAATATATCTCAGTAAACCAAGGGTACTAGAGGATCACTCCACGCCATGGCTCACTCAATGTACAACAAATAACATCATGTAAAAAAGCATAACATACAAAATCACAAACAACTACGGAAAAATCCACGAACATCCACATCAGGATTCCGTTCAAGGACCCCATCGTATAACTCCCGGAATCTTCCTGGTGCCTCTCCCATGGATGAGACAACCCTATGGCAAAACCCAATTGGAACTGCTCATGAGCCCTATCCAGCGGAAGTCCCCCATTTGGATCATCCTGGTACCGCTCCCAGAGTTGGTCCCACGGCAAAACCTGACTAGAATGTCCAAAGGATATCTCCAGCGGAAGTCCAAACCAACACACATCTACTGGCCAGAGATCAAACAATTTACACGCAACATGCTCCAAGCATGTCACACAATCAAGCAATAATGCATGAACATACATATTCACACAATGTCCAAAGGCACAAAATCCAACCACAACCTTCCATAGGTGTGGTAGAGCACACAAGGGATTAAAACCCAAGTTCCAAAGGTTTACCTCAACTCCAAGCACCATGCTCCAACACGTACGCTCCAAGTTCGATCTTCCACTATCACGTCCGTGAGAGGCAACCTAAATTGATCAAAATATTGACCATCAATACAATTTCAATGCAAACCATTCATTTCACACACATCATAAACAGTTAGAATCACCTAGGCACACAACCTTAAATTCACCTATTTCAATCACATTACTCCTCAACTTAATCACCAATCCACAATTATTCAATAACACCTCAATTTTCCTTCCAACCTTTCCCATGGTTCGAGTTCCTCATAGATGGTACTCCAAGGTTTTCCATCCATCTAACAATTATACACATCATATAATCTCCCATTCCTTCATACCAACATACAACCATCCAATTACACTACCCTAACAACAATCCAAAATCACCATTTCATGGCATCATTCAAAATTTCCTAAGTTATGAACATATTTTCACCAATAATTTTTATTGCATTTCTTGCTCAAATACATCATTTTAAGACATAATCATCTAATACACATTTTCCATTTGAGCTCTCTAACACAACAAATCATCCAATTCCAATCTAGGGCACAAATCAAAAATCTCATGAATCAATCAATGGAAAGTGTTAACACTTACTCAATAGGTCGGTCTAGGGCTCATCCACATCATATCAAACCATTGGAGCACCACACAACTCCATGAACACAAATCTCACACAATGGGTCGCGGTTTTAGGGGAGGTATTTCTTAATTTCTAGTGGTTTTCAAGGCTTAATACTACCACCAATGGGTTTGGAAGGTGTTTTCCAACAACTTTCATGACCAACTTGACTTGATTTGGTGATTGGATGATGAAGTTACAAGAAAAGAATTTTTGCAAGGTTTTGGCTATGGAGGGAAGGGGAGGTCGCGGGAGAGATGAAGGGAATAGGAGAGAGAATCATGTTTTCTAGTAAAAAGGGGGTCACTTTAGTAACTTGGACCATAGGTGGATCCCACATGCGATTTAACTTTAATCAATCACCTAATTTAAACCCCAAATTCATAACCTACGTATTTTTCTCGTTCATGTCATATTTTTGTTTCCTAAAATTACTGACAATATTTTCACGCTTATCGGTACAATTATACCGCAGTATTTTTACATTAGTAAAATCACTATTCATCAAATTTTTTGAAACTTGCCTATCCACTCGATTTTTCGTCCTGACTCCATTTCGGGCATTATTTT